CCCCCCCTCCCCCCTACCAGTGCGTATGTACTTTGTGCACGCCGCCTAAGTAGAATGAATATTCTTATATTCCTATCAAATCTTATAATAAGTGAAATGTGATTGTAATTACTTAGTAGTAAGCTTAAAACTTGTTTGAAAACTTATATACAGTAAGCTATAAACGGAAGCAATTGTTGAAATTATTAAATATGAATTCTGATGTCAAGAAAGTGTTGACAATACTGTTGGCACCGGTAGAAGGTGTGGGTCACGTGAACGCCTGCATCGGTTTGGCTCAATCTCTTCGAGACCGCGGACACAGAATTGTATTCATTGTCGACAAGTCATGGAAAGGACGGTTAGTTCGCTATGGCTTTGAAGAGGAGATACTTTTGGAGGCAAACACTAACCCAACTGAACCGGGAGTAGAGGACGCCAATAGACTATTCATGTCTGGACTCATATCAGGGAACTCCTCTTTGGACAAAATCAAAATCATGTCAACCGACGACTTTTTTACGGATAATTTTAATACAATTGTCACAAATGAGGAACTTATGAAACATATTGTCACCAAATATAAGCCGGATCTGTTTATAATTGACCACTTCATTGGTTCGCCAACACTTATCTATTCAGATAAACCTTGGATTCTGTTATGTAGTGGTAATCCACTGTATGTACTAAATAGCGAGACAACTCCCCCTCCTTTCTCGGGTATCTCTTGTAGAATAAGTTTCATTAATACATGAATTTATTATTTAAAACAAATTGTATTTTTTAGGTTTTCCATCTGATGGCGATCGCAGTCTTTGGCCACAATTCAGAGAAATTTCAATAAAATTGTTTGAAAAACTTAGCCTTAAATACAATGAATGGCTTATAAGCAGAGGATTTCCAGCGATTCCTAATTTCCGTTGTATTCCCGACTCTCCTTATCTTAATCTCTATATATTTCCCGAAGAGCTCGACTACACCGACGTTAGACCCGTTCCTCACAAGTGGTTTAGGATTGAAACAATTGTGAGGAAAGAAGAGCAATATTTTGAATTACCGGAAATGTTTAGAAATACGGTTTCGACGCAACAATTGATTTATTTATCGTTGGGTTCAATGGCTTCTATTGATATCGAGTTAATGAAACGTTTAGTAAAAATTCTGTCCAAAAGTCAGCATAAATTTATCGTTTCAAAGGGTATTCGCGGCGATGAATATGAATTGGCGGACAATATGTGGGGCGAGAAGTCGGTTCCGCAGACAAAAGTGTTGCCATTAGTAGATCTCGTGATAACTCATGGCGGGAACAACTCGGTCACCGAAACCTTTAGTTATGGAAAGCCTATGATTGTAATGCCATTATTTGCCGATCAGTTCGATAACGCACAGAGAGTTGAGGAAAAGGGGTTTGGGATACGACTCGATCCCTACAACTGTTCGGATCAAGAATTACTGGATTCTATGGAAAGGCTATTAAATAATAAGGAACTGAAAGAGAGATTATCCGTCGCTTCCAAACGAATCCTAAACTCCAATAGTCTTCTAAAAGCTGTACAACTCATCGAAAATCTTGTGATTTAATGTAAATCAAGTGCAATAAATAAACTGAAATAGTAGTGATTTATTTTGTTTTGAGCATTTGATATTTAAAAATAATATTAAATTAAAAATAACATTTGTATGGCTGTACGTGACTGAAATATCCAATGCCTTAGTCTTATATTTAGATGAGAAAGAAATGGTAGAATTTAATTTTTAATAAACTTTCAATACAATGAAACTGGACTCACAAGTCAGTAGAAATTGTTTAAACGTTTTATTAAATAATTATGATACATTAATTATTTTATTACAACAATTTTGATCAACTTTCAATAAGGAACAAAATACTACAATTTCTGGTGTAATAATGTTCAATTAAATTACAGTATTTGTGTCTAACTGTATACTATTAACTAACTATTTTATCTGAACTTTTGATTTTATCTAAAGTGTCCAAGTTGTACCAATTCATAAACAATTGATAAAATGAACATTAAATAAATTGGTAGACATTTAATTAATGGAATACCAAATGTCATATAAATGAAAAGTTTTTATTATATTATTCTAGTTCAATACAGTCCATATTTTAAAATTATGTTAGTATTTGTTTGTCACTGATAATTAAATCACGATTAAAGCACTATGAATAGTGATATATAATCTCGATCAACTTGTTCATTTCAATGTTATTCTGCTATTCAAGTCGACAAAGTTTTGGCTTTGAATTTTGTCAAAACACAAATGATATATTAGTTATTTGTAGAAAATTTATCTCATAGTCACGCCTAAGGTCTAAATTTAAGACGTTTCTTAAAATTAATCTTCAATTGCATTAGATTTGAACGAAAAGTTCAATTTGAAGGACAATGTTATGTATGGAGTCCTTGGAAAATACATCTCTCTCTCTCTCTCTCTCTCTCTCTCTCACTCACTCTTTCAGTTGATTTGATTTGGTTTTGTTGTCATCGCATCCCAAGACATGGCATTAATAGAGACGATC